GGTATAGTGATAGGAATGTGTTTACTTCAGATTATTTCTTATAACTAACTCATTATTTGTTTGTATGCCTGTATGGAAAACATGTTGCTGCCCTGGGCACCTTGCCTGCCATGTGAGAAAGGGCTGCCCACCACTTTACACTCTGAAGGCTGTCACATGAGTAAAATGTCTGATGCTCTGAATGAACACACACCCTCAAATATGATTGACAAGATTAAATGAGGAGGTAGGAATTGTGAGTGAATGAGAACACTGAATACTGGAGACATTTTGCATTTCTGACCTGGCAGTTCAGACTTGAGAAGATGAAGCATGCTGGAGGAACAGATGCCCAAGGACCTGGCTTCAACACCTCAGATGCCTGGCCCATGGCACTGGGAATCAATGAAGGGAGCCACAAGGTCCCTGAGGTTCAGGTTGGGGCATCTTGGGTTGAAGGCATCTAAGTGCTTGGCTAGTTTTTCATAGGAAATAAAGAAGATAGACCCAAGGTTGGGTCCCAGTTTTCTGTTCTTGATGTACATATGATAATATCCCTCTACTGGAGACAATGAAATTGCACAGAACTTACCTCGTAATGCTCCCCAAACTCTGTTAGCCTTGAGGAAAGCCACTGGTCCCTGCACAAGTAGAGAATCTGTGGGGTAGGATTGGTGAACGTTGGTTACTTCCGGAATGACGAACAGTCTATTTTCCAAACTTACCCTTAGTATTTTCCCACCATTCTTTCCTGTTCCTCCAGTGTGTCTCTACTTAGATTCCTTTAACTCAAGATGTTCCAGCCTGACCAGCCCAGAGACCTTGTGTCTCACTTCAGTGAATCTCCATTGCCATAGGCCAGGCAGCTGAGCTGTTCAAGGCAGGCCCTGCACATCCCTCCACCACTCATCACCTCAGCACAGAAATACAAACCATCTTCTGTTTTCATGGTCCTTATTCACACTTCCTACATCCCCCAAGGTGAGTTCACTTCACTTTTCTTGTTTTCATTTGTCCTACCTCCCTTCCCTTTGATGCCATCAGAAACTGGAACTAAGACTTGCTTTCTAGCTCCCTTTACCTCAGTCCAGTTGCATCTCACTCAATAAGAAGTCGCTTCCATCAAGAAGAGGACTCCAACCAGGCATGGTGGGAGGGAAAGAAAGACTGTAAATCCAGCACTCAGGAAGATTGAGGCATGAGGATCATAGGTGCACAGCCAGCCTGGGCTAAACAGGAACCCTATCTCAACACAAAAGTACCCAAGAGTTCCAGTTGGCTGGGCTGTGCCAAGAGGTCCTTATCCTTCAGCCTTGGGAATCATGCTCTGCCTAATGACAGATAGTACTTTTAGTATCAGTGCATCCTGGGGCAAGGTGGGCACAGAGGGTACAGACCCTGAAAGCTAAAGGTATGTCAGGGACAGACAGAGAAGGGGCACTGGTGGTAGGAGCCTACTGATTTAGTGTCATGACAACCTCTACCTCCTGACTGTCAGGAGGCAGGTCCTGTCAGGCAAGGAAAAGATGTGTGTGTCAGTCATGTGACATGCTCAGCTGACAGTCTTTTATCAGAATAGCTTTTCCAGTCAAAACACCACAGTGCTGAGTGAGTGAAACACCACACTCGGAACTGTTTTGCTACTTTGAGTACACTTAACGCAGGCTTCCTTTTCCCTACAATAGCTGAGGTCTGGTGTATATTTAAAAGGATCCTGACTCAACTCATCAAATCATACATAGCAATTAAAAGAATTACCTGCTAAGAATGCAGACACATAGCTATAGAATTTTAATTTCAAAACCCAACTAGTAGGTCGGTTAGTGACTTTCCTTTGTGTTTGTTGGGGGGTGGATAGGAGGTGATGCCTTGACTTTTCAGCTATCCCCTTCTGAACTGATTTGCACTGTGAATACCCTTGTTTTAGAGGGTATCTATACAGACATCAATAATTAAAATACTACTCAAACACTACGTGAGTGTCCACCCAGTTCTCTCTACCTCCCCCAAATGAAATACCTATTAGTTCCTTTCCTTGGCAATTGTGTAATGAAAAAAATATAATATTCTTTATCTGCAAATTCCTGTGTATTAATGGTAAATCCCCTCCATACGGCACAACTTCCTTTGTCCAACTCAGCAGTTTGTTTTGGTAAGTTCTGCATGTCTGTCATATGAATTCACGTCTATCTGTTCAGCCAGTCCTCTTCCAGCTGACAGCAAGTTTGTTTTGTTTTTAACTCTTTGTTACAGGTAAACGTATGTGGCTACCTCTCTAAAGTAGAAATGGTTTCACTTCCACTTCCCAGGGTATGCCTGTCTTTATTGCTAACATAGGGGGTTGGGATTCTGTGTTTGCAGTGCTGGCGAATTTCTTAAACACTGACCGCAGGAAGCTTCCTTTTGAGACGAGCTGACGTAAATAAAAGCTCAGTCCCTCCAGTCTCAGTGCACCCTATTTTCTAGAATCTACCATAGGTTGTCTATACTGCTGATGGTGATGGACAGCAAAGTTACCTTGGCAACACAGTGGCCATTTCTAGCTCAATTCAGATTGCAAAACATACTTCCTATAGCATCTACATGTCCATTATCCACTGAAATCATGTGGCTAGCACTGGTAAATTACCCATTCCTCTCCCAAGGACAGCTACAAAATTGAAAACAAATGAAACTATTTTCCTAAGGGGTGTATTAAGAAAGCTCATCTGGGGGTTGGAGAGGTAGCTCAGCTCTTAGGAGCACTGGCTGCTCTTCCAGAGGACTGGGTTCAATTTTCAGTACCCACATAGCAGCTCACATCTGTCTTTAACTCCAGTTCCAGGGGATCTGACAGCTTCACACAGACACACATACAAGCAAAACACCACTGAGCATAACAATAAAATTTAAAAAGACTGGCTCAGAAACAAAAACAAAGGTAAATAAACGAATAAATGGACCGCTAACAATAAACACAATTCCTTTTAAAAAGCTTATCTGTGTGGGAGGAGGGAAAGGGCTTTTATCCACATGCAGAGGAGGCATTCTAAGGACAAAGGAGTAAGTTCTTCTTACTATGTGACACGTCATTCTTTCTATTTCTTACCTTTTTTTTTTTTTTGATTTTTGAGACGGAGTTTCTCTGTGTATCTTTGGAGCCTATCCTGACACTCGCTTTGGAGACTAGGCTGGCCTAGAACTCACAGAGATCCACCTGCCTCTGCATCCTGAGTGCTGGGATTAAAGGCGTTCACCACCAACGCCCGGCCATTCTTTAGATTTCTATACCCAATCTCCTCATCTCTTCCTGGTACTTGTCTTATAGTACATGTTTTTCCATTGTCTCTCTGAGTCCTTGGCACCATTCCACACCATTGCCAGTCAATACACCCTACTGAGAAAGTATGTACAAGGCTTGGGAATACAGTCCTGTGAGCAGGCTGGTCTTGTATGCAAGATGCCCTAATGTGCCTTCAAAGACAGAAGTTGATTGAGGACAGAAGAGTAGGCTCAGCAGTTCAAGTGCTCGGTGCTCTTCCAGAGGACCACAGTTCAGTTCCTACCACTCAAGGATGGAGGCTCACAACCAGGTGTAGCTCCAATTCAAAGGATCCTATGCCCTCTGTGAGTACCTACGGGCATATGTGTGCATGTAGACAAACACACACCAACCCACACACAAACTTTTAAAAAGACAAAAAACATACCACAGCCTCAAAAATTAAGATTAGTTTACCTCTACCATACAGTGGTAGAATAATGAGGCATCAGAAATTGTATCATAAAAGAATAGTTAATGAAGTTCATAATTATGTAAAAATAAGTCAAAATCCACATGTACAAAAACTTCTATTTTTTTGTCCTTTCTCTTTCTTTCTTTCTTTTTTTTTTCTTTTTATTTATTTATTTTTTTTGAGATGAGGTCTTACTCTAGTTCCAGGTAGCCTCAATTCACTGCAATCCTCCTGCCTCAGCCTCTCCAGTGCCACACTCAGCTTATTCCCATTTTCATATTAATGTTTGTATCCATGCAAAACATTTGCTGCAAACAACATGCATGTTGGCCACCTGAAATGGCCACGATGGACAGGTGAATTCTCCTTCCATCTGTACCTACTCCCGAACTTACAAATGTTCTACAAAGACTACATTTCATGATAGGTACTTACAGGACTCATCTGAGGACACAGTAGGGAAGGAATCACACTGTGACTGGAGGGTAACTGACACCTGAAGTTGCTCTAACTGAGCTCCACCTTGAAAGTTAGCAGGGCCATGATGCCTCTTGTAGAAACCAAAAATATATTTGTAATATCTGTGGGAGAAATCCATTTCAATATGAACTAAATCATATGTATGTGCTACGGGACACAGAAGTCAACTCTCATGTCTCAAGCCAGCTCAGTCTAACCAAAGACTTCCTCAGGGTGGTTTCAAAACTGTTTTCAGGGCAGTCAATTCTCAAGCTGTGGGATGAAACCATTGGAAAACACACATTTCTGGTGGTCTTAGGAACTGAACTAACACTAGGTAGCAAAATCAGTTGAAGTGGCAAGAAACCATTGAGTTAGGAGAACTTCCTGGAAATCCTGATGTCCAGACCTTCAGATTAAACTTTCTGAGAATGACATTCATACATGGAAGTTTTCAAAGCTCTTCCATAGTTCACAGGCATTACACACACATGGTGCACAGATACACATGCAGGAAAACATACATACACATAAAAATGAGTAAGTATTTTTTAAAACTTATGATGGAAAATTTTATGTGCCAGGCAGTGGTGGCAAATGCCTTTAACCCCAGAACAGGGAGGCAGAGGCAGGTGGATCTGTGAGTTAGAGGCCTACCAGGTCTACAGAGTGTATTCCAGGACAGCCAGGACTATACAGAGAAACCCTGTCTCAAAAACCCAAAATAAGCAAAGAAAAAAATAATAAATGAATTTTACCATAATTAAAAACTTTAAAACTTAGGGTTAGAGAGATGGCTCAGCAGTTAAGAGTACTGGCTGCTCTTGTAGAGAATCTGGGTTGAATTCCTAGCATCCACGTGGTGGCTCACAATCATTTATAACTGGTCTTCACAGGTATTGCACCTATACACATAAAACTATTTTTTTGCTGTTTGTTTTTAAGGCAGGGTTTCTCTGTGAAGTTCTATCCTAGAACTCTGTAGACCAGGCTGGCTTAAACTCAGAAATCCCCCTGCCCCTGTCTCTGAGTGCAGGGATTGAAGGTGTACACCACTACCACTTGGCTATAAAAGACTATATAATCTTGAAAATTAAAAATAGCAGGGCGGTGGTGGCGCACGCCTGTAATCCCAGCACTTGGGAGGCAGAAGCAGGGGCCCTCCCAGTGAGGGGTAGGAGTGGGGGGTGGAGGGAGGGACCACTAACCAGCTTTAAGATCTGAGGTCTGAGTTAGGGGCTAGCTAGCATTCCAATTAACAAAAGGATTGAAGCTATTCTTTTAAAATAGGTCTTCAGGGTCCGGTGTGATGGTCCATACCTTTAATCTCACCATTTGGGAGACAGAAGCTGTTGTGAGTTTAAGGCTAGCCAGGGGCTACATAGTGAGACCAATCTCTCAAACAAAAACAAAATTGTGCCTACTATTTAGTAGGTTTTCTGAGCTGAAGAAGCTGCCACAGTGACCAGCCAAACTATCCCCACAGAGAGGGGATGAATCTTAGGCTCTTAGTGATAAAAGCCACTTGCTGTAGAATAACCCTCTGCATGCTGTGTGAATATGTGTTGCTATGACTGGTTTAATAAACAAGAGGACTGGCCAATAGCTAAACAGGATCAAGTTAGGCAGGAAAGTCAAACTGAGAATGATGGGATGAGGAAGGGTGGAATCAGAGGAGACGACAGACAGCTGCCAAGGAAGTAGGATGTTTAGAAAATGAATGAGGTAACAAGCCACGAGCCATGTGGCAAAGCATAGATAAGAAATATCAGTTAAAGTGTAAGAGTTAGCTAGTAACAAGTGTGAGCTATCAGCTGAGCATTTGTAATTTATATTAGGTTTCTGAGTCAGTTCTATGGGAACCTGCTGCTGGTTATTTGAGAGCAGGGGATCAGGACAGGAAAGCTCCAACTACAGCACAGAATTCTGAACAGCCTGTATGAATGTTCACTACCCAGAGACCCCTGAATAACCCTGCATCTCTAGAGACTTCCAACCCTCTCTACCATGCTTGCTGGAGTTACTAGGCCACAGCTGCCTGCTCCCAAGGTTTAGCCATGTTTTATTACCAGCTTCCAAACAATGTCAGGTGCAATTACCAGCTGCTTCTCTCACAAGGTACAAGTTAGTTGGGCTAATACTTCAGGTAATAATTGCCGGCACTTGTTCTGGATGCCAAGCCTGTTTTCAAACCATCTCATAGCTGATTCAAGGCCTTGTAAGGTTGTATTCATTAACAAGTAGTCATCCCTGCTCAAGCTCATATCAGGGCAGAAAGGAAAACTCCAGCTTTTGTCAGCCCTAAAGCGCATGCACCTTTTAAAAGCTATCCAGTCCAGTGACTCAGTTACAATCCTAAACATCTCAATACTACCAGCCAGCTGCTTTGGTTTTACGTTTCTTTTGGGGGGGGGAATTCAAGACATGGTTTCTCTGTGTAGCCCTGGCTGTCCCAGACTATCCTGCCTCTGCCTGCCAAGTGCCGGGATTAAACTGCTCCTCTTGTTTTACCTTTTCATGCCACCTGGACCATAAGAATTCCAACCTGTTAGCAATTCAACTCCTAAAAAGATTATTAGAGCAAGCTTCCAAAGTAGGGTGATAATGTCCTCTAAGTTGCACAAATGATAAGGAAAACATTAGCCTTTCTGTGGCAGAGGACACTGCTGTTCCTGCAAACAATGGGGCCTCTTCAGCAGATGCCTAGGTACCACAGCCTAGACCCACCCTAAACTTTGTTTTATATTTCCTGGGCAGCTGTTGGTGTCCTACAGGAAAAATTAGGTTATAGTGAATTCACCAGTCATAGACAAGATCTGGCATGTAAAACAAGCCGCACAGGTGCCACCAATTTACAGTTCCCTGGGGCAGTCCCATCTACACAGGACTGGCATTGAGGGGACAGAAGGTGGCACATTCAACCATCACTGCAAAATGCAGCCTAGCCTGCTCTTGGTACAATTGGTAAGGCTGGAGTGCAGTGACTGCCTGGGGCACAGGACACTGAAAGGGTTTTAAGGAACCTAGGGGAAGAAACCAAAGGTTGAGGAACAAGAAGTAAAGCAGATATTTATCTAGGAGTCATTTGAAAGTAAGTACTGAGATTGGAATACCTAACATTAGGAATGGAACACAGTTTGGAAGGGAGAGGTTTCCCACAATGCTCCAACTTAAGGACTTTCTTTCAGAGCTGGGGAAATAGCTCTGAAGTTTAGAGCTCTTACTGCCCTCACAGAGGACCTGGGTTTGGTTTCAGTACCCGCCCTGGGGGCTCACACCAAGATTCCATGTCCTCCACATCTGCGGCTACCTCCAGGCTCATGGTACACATAAATTCGTGCAGGCTCAGATGCACTTGAAGAAAAACTACAAGAGATAGAGGACATCTGAATTGTTGCCACGTATGGGAAGTATGGAGCTGAATGCCTCAGCCAACACTGAGGAATACCTGGGGACCTCAAAGGGTCCTTACCTAAGCCTGGCCAGATGCTCTCATTGGCGGCTCACTTTAGAGGATTGAGCCACTTTCTCCTCCCTATCTGTGAAGCCATCTCAACAGACCTTCTGAGGCCAACAAACTGACTGACTAAAGCTGCAAGTCCCACTGTTATTCTGCACCCAGACCAGGGACCCTGAGCATCCAGGGTGCGCAGGAAGCAGCAAGGGCAGGTCAAGCATTGGACTTAGGTCTGCATAGGTTAGAGCTGCCATGCCATCGTCCAGACCTGTGAGACCAGGTTGCCTGGTGGTCCGCCTTTCTGGCCCAGACCGGGCTGTTTACCTCCGAAAGGCTTCCTGCAGCAGCGAGCAGGAGGGGTCCGCCGTGGAATTCGGACCGTGGGAGATAAGGAAGTTTTCCGGGGCGATGTTCAGCAGCTCCGGGGACACCTTCACGGAGCGCGGCCAGGGCCACAGTGCGGGTGTCTGCTGGGCCGAGGCCTGCGCCGCCAGCGCCAGCAGCGCCAGCAGGAGCTCGGGGGTCCGATGCGGGGACGGTCGCATGGCTGCTGGGCGGTCTATCATGCAGTCCTCAAACTTGCCTTCTTGCCCAGGATACAGGGAAAGAAGCTTTGGTGCCCGGGTCACCGAGTCAGATGACCAAGCTCCCGCCCTGCCCGGGCTCCGCCTCTGAGCCCTGAGCGGCCCGGACCCCCACCCCCACCCCCTTCCCCTTCCCTGGCGGTGTTTTTGCCACAAAGTCTAGATGGTTTGTGGGCTCTGATTGATAAAAACCTCTGGGTCAGAATTCCCTAGAGCTGACTTTGGAACTGATGGTACGTTACAATTTATGCATGAAAATAAAAAACGGGGGGGGGAAGAGAGAGAGAGAGAGAGAGAGAGAGAGAGAGAGAGAGACAGAGAGAGAGACAGAGAGAGAGACAGAGAGAGAGAGCATTAAAACTTCAGAAGGACGTGATGGACCACGCTAATATTAAAGTGATACAAGGAGGCGCATGCACCAGCACTCTGGAGGGAGCGGCAGGCAGATCTCTGAGCTGGAGGCCAACTCGTCTACAGATCGAGTTCCAGGACAACCTCCAAAATAAAGGGGGGCACATACAAGGAGAATATTTCTGTAGAAGAGATTAAAGTCGACGAATAATTTTCCCAAGACTTTTAAAATGATTAGGTAGAGTGAAAATGCATCAGAGATTACAGTAAGTCTTATCACAGTACGACTGATTGAAAGATAACTTAATAAACACATGTTAGAACATGGCTCAGCAGTTAAGAGCTCTGGGTGGTCTTCCAGAGAATCAATTTCAAGTACTCACAACTGCCAGTAACTCAAGTCCCGGGAAAATGACACCCCTCTTCTGGCCCAGGAGGGCACCAGGCATGCAAGTGGTTCATAGATTACATACAGACAAAACACTTGTACAATAGGATAAACTAGGAAATTTTTAAATGTTCTTGAAAGGAAGATGGCTACGTGATTCAAAATTGTGATGTGTCCCACAACGGCACTATTAAACTTGACTTTTCAGTACTCTCATCCCTAAGAAAAACAAAACTTATAAGTTTCTGAGAGCAACTCACACATTAATTTGTGACAGGCCTCTATGAAATATTTGGAGATAAACACTTCTAGATACAAGCAAGGTTACCAGACCCTGTGTCTCCTCCCTTTCTTCTTACCACCAGCTGTCCTCTTTTAGCTTCAATTTCAGGCAGGTTTTCTCCACATTATGTCATCCTGGCAGCTACAGGGGTAGGGCCACCTCCTCACAAGAAAACACATGTCCAACCTCATAGACATAAAATCAGGATCCCAGTCAAGAAGCTTGATTTCATAGCCTGCCTAGGAGAAAGCTAGTGAAGTTCCTCATTAACAAGTAGTCGAAAAAGAGAGCTGCAAGAAAAGACTTCCAAATCTGTCATGATACATGCTGAAAGTTGAGTTCTTCCGGGAAAGCAAACCTCAGGGTCACATTACTCTCTCCATTTCTTGTAAGGACCAGGAATTAAATTTGTGTTGTTGAAATTACCATATGCACAAGGACATCACCTTATATGGTAGTTATCTATTGCTGTGTCACTCTAAATCAAGGTCATAATGAGGTGATACATATCACACAGTCGTTGTTATTCAGGAACTCAAAAAATGCAGTTGAGTGACTCTGGTTTCTAATCTATCATGACTGAGATCACAGTCACCTGGTGCCTTGTCCTTCTTTCCAAAACCATATGTGTACAAAGCCAAGTGTGCTTGTCACATGCCTTTAGTCCCATCACAGACTTGAGAGGCAGAGGTAGGCAGATCTCTCACTTTGAAGGCAGGCTTCTCACATATGGAGTTCTAGACCAGACATTGCTACATACTGAGACCCTTATCAAAAAAAAAAAAAAAAAAAAAGAAAAAAACAAAAAGCGTTGGCTAGGATTCAAATTCTGGGCAAACTTTCCTGAGCTCTCACCTCTAGACAGCTCTGCCTGTCAACTGTTTCTATTTAAAGACAGATGTGCCCGAGTTGGAGTGGGTTTCCCTGTCTCCTTTCTACTGGTTGAACTTTGAGGCCTCAGAAGACCCATTAGATTTTGTGTGTGTACCTTTGGGCTGAAGCTGGTAGTGTTCCTCCTGCCACAGCACCTTTAAAATCATTATGGAGGAATGGAGCTGGGTCTGACCCACAAGCCTCCACGCAGGGGACTTCCTTTCATAGTACTGGAAGTACTATGTGAAGTTATAACTACAACAGTAACCAACTTAGCAAGATGTCCTTCAAGGTGCAATAGTAGCACTTATATCTGAGGGGCAAACAACAATTGTCTGTTTGGACATACGGCCACAGCTTTCTTTCTATGGCTTTGATGACACTGACAGCAGCCCTTTGTCTCAGATCACAGACAGCACAACAGTCCAGAACAGTATAGTCAGAGATGCTCTCAGCCTGTGTGGGTTTGCTTGGCACCATACTGAGGATGGCAGCGTCTCCAGATTCCCATAATGTAGGGCCACCTTCCAGCTTTGTAGCAGAGTGGCCATTTATCTTTTCTTTCTGTTCAGTGAATTCGCTGTGAGCCAAGTGACAACCCAATGCAGGGGTGGAACCAGCAAGAATTTGGCCTGGATGGTTTTGGGATAATCCCTTGAGTAGTGTGGCCCAGTGCTTCCACTCACCGGTCACTTTTGCCATCACCAGCAATGCTGCCAAGATAAACATCTTTGACAACACATATTCTTGCCATTGAAGCCCACTTTCTCCCCAGGAGGTACTTCTCTCAAAGCCTCATGGGGCATTTAACACACTTTATTTGTGACTTGGACTGCAGCAAAAATGATGAACGTGATGTGTTTGAGAAAATGTCAGCCCACAGGGACATTACCACTACCATCAATTTATAGACACCCAGTATATAGAATATATATATATATATATATATATATATATATATATATGCTTCTGTATGCTTATTTATATGCTTATATCAGTTGGACAAGTTGGGACAAGTTGATAGCAGGAATGTAGTTCCATTGACATCTTCACAGATGACTTCTGTCCCTTTGACCCAAGGTGTATTAGAACATCAATGGTTCTAGCATGTTGTCACCCTTCCAGACAGAAATTGGCACAAATATCATCACATCAGAGTTGTAGCAAGCTATTTTGGTTTGTTTATTTTAAATGTAAATGGCTCACATCTCTTTCTGGCTGTAAGGTGGCCCAATGGAATGAATTTTGTTAATGTCAACATTTAGCTATTTCACACCTGATGTGAAACACAGGGCATGCCTCCAGGTCTGTCATTGTTAGAGGTACCAGATTCAGGACTGCATGGTTAGATGTGCCCTAGATGAGCCTGAGTTTGTGCTTATAGTAAAGTTCTTTGTCCTGGGGCATCACTGATAATCACATAGTATTTGTGACTCTCAAGTTTCCACAGGGAGATGCCACCAGGGATACCATGCTCACAGCAAAGACCCAGGCATACTTGAAGGAACCTTGCCCAACTCAGCCTCCTCAAATTCTCATTAGTTCTTTTGTGGCTCCCACCACATTTCTAGATCAGATGGCCAGTAGTGGTGACTTGCCTGAATCCATGTGTCAATGATAATGACTTTGAGCTGTATTTTTACTTTCTCCATTTTGCCTTTGATTTGGCAATAGGTTTTACAACATCTGTGTTCTGATGATAAGCCTGTTGCGAAATGGTGATACCCAAGCCTTCCAGTCTACTTCCCAAGTGTCTTTCCCATGTTCATTAAACATCAGTAAGACTTTTTGTTGTTTTTCTAGCTGCTGTTACTAAGTAGTGTTCCCTCACTCCCTAGTGTGTTAGTTACTTTTCTGTTGCTGTGATATATTGTTGTATGATGTTTTTGTTCTTTTTGGGCTCCTTTGTGGGTGCCCAACACCCAGTACTCAAATAAATTACACACGGAGGCTTTTTGTTAGTTATGAGTGCCCTGCCTTTGCTTGGCTTGTTGCTAGCCAGCTTTTCTTAACTTAAAATTAACCCGTCTACTTTTTCCCTGTGGGTTTTTCCTGTTCTCTTACTTCTGCAAATCTTACTCCATGGATTGCTCTGTAGCAGATGGCTGGGTGGCTGGCCTCTGATGTCCTCCTTTCCTTGTTGTCTTGTTCCTCTTCCTCATTTGTCCTGTTTATACTCTCTCTGCCTGCCAGCCCCACCTATCCTTGCTCCTGCCTTGCTATTGGACATTCAGCTCTTTAGTAGGGGTACCAGGTGTTTTAAACAGGCAAGGAATCACAGCTTCACAGAGTTAAACAAATGCAGCATAAACAAAAGCAACATGCCTTAAAATAATATTCTACAACAATGATCTGATACCATGACCAGGACAACTTATAGGAAAATTTCTTTTGGCTTACAGTTCAGAGGAAGAGTCTATAGTGACAAGGAAGATGTGGTGGAAGCAAGGAGCAAGAGCAGGAAGCTGAGAGATCATATGTCCAGTGACAAACGCAAAGCAGAAACCATAAAGAGTGAAGCTGAAGTAAGATGGGACTATGAACCCGAAGCACACCTCCAGTGATGTGCTTTCTCCAGCAAGGCTGCAGCATCAAAATCTCCTAAACACACTACCAACTTGGGAGCAAGTGTTCAAATACTTAAGCTTATAGGGGGCATTTCTCATTCAAGCCACCATACCTAGAATTCCTCCCTAGAAACACAGATGAATGCAGTGGGGCTTTAGGTTTCGGCCTGGCAAGATTTTTGCTGCTTCCCCTATCTTGCTAACCCTGCATCGCTGCTAGAATTACAGTCACTCAGCAAGTCTGTGTAAAATACAAACAAGGCCCTTTCAGTTCTGCATTTAGCACACATCAGTGGATGTTGCCTCACTGTACATGGACTCCTTAACACTCTCCAGTGTGGAGGATCTTGCTGTCTGCCCGTCTCTCTATCACATCCCTTCTCCCCTTCCCTAGTGCTCCGGTCCTTGGTGCCCTGGTGTGTTATCTGCATCTATGGAGCTTTTTTTCCCCCAGCCTAACCTATGGTACTACTAAAGCAGGGGAGTCAAGAATAAAACTGTAGAGCCTATTGCTGTTCTGCGCTGTTCAGTTGGCATGTGTGTGCTTATGAAAAGCTCCTTTTGGGGGCTGGAGAGATGGCTCAGAGATTAAGAGCACTGACTGCTCTTCCAGAGGTCCTGAGTTCAATTC